TTTGTCTTCATTGTTTATGCAGTTTTCTTTTTGAGTTCTGATCCATTGCATGTTGATCTTTGATTGAATTCTGCCAATTAACGTCATATTTAAAAGTCTAAATGTGGTATAAGTCTGAATGACATTTACGGTTTATGGATAAACTATTACAGCTGGTAATACTGTACCCAACTGCTCATAATGTTAAAGATGAAAATCTTCTGTTAGAATAGATTTTGTTTTAGTGCTTTAATTACAGTTTTATCCCTGGTGGGTTCTCAGCATGCAGGTATCAACCATCTTGATTACTGTGGACTAATCTACTGCACATGATAATGCTTTGACACTCAATCTTCATCATCAGACATGAAGCTGATGAACTTTCAAACAGTTTACAGCACAGTGTCTACATGCTAGGAAACAATGTGAGCAGTCAGTGCAGCTGAGGAGGAGCTAAACGGAAACATCAGAAACCTAAAAGAGGAAAGAAGCACACAGAAAAGGATATTTTTAGTGCATAAGTGACACAAAATCTCCTTCAAAAAACACAAAACATCCAACTTCGCCATAAAGTTAAGAAAAGGTGAATCAAGAACTAATCCCTACAAATTAGGGATGCACGATATAATCGGCCCCCTATCGGTATCAGTCTGTATCGGCCTTAAAACTGAATATCGGACATCAGCCACCCCACCGATATTTAACCCGATATTTGATCAGCTTCTGAGTTTCCAAAGTCTAAAAAAAAAAAAATACTACTTCTTCTTCTTCCTCAAAATCTTCTTTTTTTTTACAGACTTAAAAACTTCTAAAGACGAGGGAAAAATATTGATAAATTAAAATATCACATTATCTTCATATGCTGATATATTGCCATTTAAAAACACCATATCAATCTCTTTTACTAATGAAATATTGCTATATGTCATCGTTATGCTACGAAATCCCCCGAAAATTCACCAAATTTTGCCATAATTTTATATGTTGATATATTGACGCGGTATCAATCTATTTTACTAACAAAATCTCACAAGAATTTGCAAAATATCACAAGAGTTAGTAACAGAATGATGAGATTTTGAAAGTAAAATAGATCGATACCGCGTTGTTAAAAATCAATATGATATCAGCATATGAAAATATATTTGAGTATATTATTTTTCAAAGTGTCAGAAATGGATAACAAAACTGCTATTTTCAATGACTACTTATTTTTGTCCAGCTTTAACATCAGTATCGATATCGGTTATCGGCTACATGAGTTTTAAAACATCGGCATATCAGATATCGGCCAAAATCCCAATATCGTGCATCCCTACTACAAATGGCTAATGAGCTGCATGTGTTACTGGTTTTTAACCCTTTACAGGGCAGTCATTGAAATACTTTGAAAATCCAAATTTCAGGGCAAGAATGTTATTGAAGGACAGGACAAGACCTTATTAGTTTTGTAACACAAAAAAATATGTATATGTTGATTCCAAAAAAATGCTGCACAGTGACGCAGCGGGTAGCACTGCTACCTTGCAGCAAGAAGGTTCCAGGTTCAATTACTAATTCTTTCTGCATGGAATTTGGATGTTTTTCATGTATGGGTTCTCTCCGGGTACTCCGGCTTCCTCCCACAGTCCAAAAACATGACTGTTAGGTTAATTGGTTTCTCTGAATTCCTCTTAGGTGTGGTTGTGTGTGTTTGAATGGTTGTTTATCCTGTTTGTCTCTGTGTTGCCCTGCAATAGATTGGTGACCTGTCCATGGTGTACCCCGCCTCTTACCCCTAGACAGCTGGAGATAGGCACGGGCACCCCTAGCACCCTAGCTGGGATAAGCGTGTAAAAAATGGATGGATGGATGATGGCAAAAATTTATGTCACAGAGTGAAAGAAACAATTATTTTTTGTTACGACAAAACCTTAGAGTATTACTGCTGATACAGGCACTTATATTTTTCACTTTTTTGACTTTGTATATAAACTTTTAACTTTAGTGTTTTAAATTTTTTCCTTAGTTTTTCCCTTTTTTTGTTAACTTGTTAACTATTTTTTTCAACCTGATTTACAGTGGTTAATGATTCATTCAAGGGTTCATCTAATTGGTCAAATTAAGAAATAACATGTAAATCCATGTAGCAGTATCTTAGCTGAATAGTTGATAATTCTTGTGATTCTAGACCTCACTGATGGATGGAGGGGACTTAATTTGTAAAGGGTATGCAAGTGATCAAAACAGTAACTTGCTATATAATGGATGAATCCTAATAGAAGAGAAGAAACCCAGCTATTCATCCTTAGAAATTGTTCACATGTGTGAACTGTTTCGTCGTTGATGTTGTGGGTCTTTTATAATTTGGTTCTCACTAATCCTCAGTTTGCATTTTGACAAGAGGTGCAAAAGCAAGTCTTTCCTATAAAATCTCACAGCAACTGAAGAGAGGACAGATGATGTGTTGAGAATCAGCCAGTTCAACTGGACACCTGTCTCAGTTCTCTTTCCAGATCCAGTTCAATCAGATCATCCAATAAGATTAAATGTTCAAAATTTTCTTTTAAAGAAAAATCAGCTGATTGCATGAACTAGTATGACAAGATCAGGTTCACCTGCATATCTATAAGATTAAATCTGTTCCTGTAAATTTCCCTTCTTAGTTGGTGAAGCCAGTAAAAACAGATTCAAGGCAAAAAATAAATAAATAAAATAAAAAAAGATACAGAAACAAAAAAGAATATTAAAAACAGTTGGACTAAAGAAAATAAAAAAGTTGAACTAATGATGTTTTAGTTGAACTGTTTCAGTGGAAGATGCTCCTTCCTTTTTTCCAGTCAGAGATGAACTAGGTGGAGTAAAATCTGCAGACATAGCGCTGTCTGGTTCCTAGTCTATTTTCCCTACATTCACCCTCTCATAATGTGTCTTGTTCCCTATTTCACAGACTCCTTTTGTTTTCACTGTTTTCTGATTGAAGCGAGGTCCAAGCTCATTGTGTGCCATCTAACAATACCTGAAACTCATTTGCATTCATTAAGAAAAAAAACAAACAAATGTAATTCTGTTTTCATCTTCAGAGGCGAGTCAGAGCTTCTGACAGGCCTGGAAAATGACACCCAGGCACAGCAGAAATGGGCCTGTCTGTGTGGACGTTCCGGTGTTCAATGAAGCATCAGAAATTATGCAACTGTGCAAAATAAAACCCAAACAAACATTTTTAGTTATTAAAACTCATGCCACAAGACAGCTGCAGTTTGGTTCAGATCCCCTCCTTCTTGAGTCTATGCCTCAGATGACATTTTGGTTCCTTGCAGGTGCAGTGCATCTGGCCAGGCCCACGAGGATGCTGATTTTCCATGAATGCAGATCAGCTCTCTGTGTTATTGATGGGCTTGTCCAGTACACTTTTCTCCATGACCCAGTTCTGGTGCTCTGACGGCCCTTTCTCATATGTTCCCTGCAGCCGATGCATGTTATCAAAACAGCAGGAGAAAGACATAATTAGTTAACATAAGGAAGAAAGGCTACATGTCAAAATACTTAAGCCGTTTTTGTCTTTTAGATCAAAATGTTATATTAAGCCAAACCTCCTATATTTTAGTGCCAATAAATCATTCAGACACGAACCTCCAGGCTGAAGGATGAAGCAGAGCAAAGAACCAGAACCTGTTTGTATTACTGTAGGAGCGACAGTCTCATTCCCAAAGGGGTTACTGACTGGAAACTGAATCAGTTAGTGAAGAACTAAAGGAGAAAGCAGGTTCTGTGTTGAATGGATTCCTGTTCTCATGTGAAAAGCTCATTTTGTTCTCTTCTTATCAACTTTTCTGTTCAAAGAAGGAACCCTGCTTAGGTTAAGTTGTTCAAGCAAACATGTTAAACTGATGAGGCATAACATAGTGAGCACCAGTCAATGCTGAACCAACAAGGCTGGAAGTGATGAGTTTTTCAGTTCACTTCAGTTTATTTATATGGCGCCTGTTCACCTCATGTTCATAGGCACTCTATAAAGACAATTTAACCAGAATGGTTAAAAGTTTCTATCAAGGGAAACTGGCTGATTGTATCCAGTTATTGACTTGTGAGTGTTAGGAATGGTGCATATGGACCCAGCATTCAGGCGAGATGGACAGTGGGAAATTTACAAACGTTTAATCGAAACAAACAACAGAACGCAGAGTTGCATGGATCTAAGGTTCTGCAGCGACTGCGAGGGGAGGCAAGAGGACCGCCTGTCACTGACGCTGAAACACCGGAAAGTGACCACGATAATCTGACAGAAGATGATTATCCATGCGAGTCACTTACCTGGTTAAACAGTTCAGTCCATCCTCACAGGTGAGGCAGAATCCAATGGGATCCGGCGAGGGCCGCCCAGAGTGTCCCCGATGTAGCAGCCCTAGTAAGCAGGCAGAGGTCCGATCCAGACCAGGAAAAAAACGATCAGAACAGGACAGCTCTGAGATCCAAGAGTCTGCATCCCGACCAGGGGTTCTGATCCGAACAGGGACAGCTAGATCCATGGAGCGTTCCGGCAGAGTTCAGAGTTCCATGAATCCAGCAGAGGGCTCAGACAGACAAGCTCAGATTGAGACAGGTGGGCTCAGTGGTTAAGAGAAACAGAGACAAGACATGGTACCAGGAGAACTGCTGAACTTTAAACTGGCTCCAACCAGCTTCCTTTTTCCCCCCATGGTGCTTCCCTTCCACATGTTCTCTCCAGCAACTAAAGCATCTATAAATGTTCTATAGATGAAGCCGCCGACACAATATTTTATACAAGCAGTTCTTAATGGCTGCTGCATCTCTCATGTTGATAAAACACAGATGACTTTTTTTTTAGAAAATGTGCAGCTCTTAGGAGTAAAGACTCTACAAGAGCTGCAGTTTAGGAGATGTTCTGGTCCATAGCTGGCAGGGCTGGAGGACCTTCTACCTGATGAATTATGTTTCTACTTATCCATGGTGCATTAAAGCCAAAGTTCTGTGATGATTTTTCTAACTTCCTTGAACCCTGTTCTGTCCCTTCTCTGCAGGGATCCTTCCTTGGCAGCGCTACTTTCTCGATCGGGGACCTGCTGAGGGCTAAGGATGGACGACTGACCTTGAGTCTGAGGTGAGAGCAGGTTATCTCTACTACTGCGTTTAGGTTTCTTTTCTCAGAGCCTAAACAGAGCAGCCTGAAATGTTCCAGACATGTTTGAACAGCACGAACATAGAATGAGCTGCTGCGCTGTTTGTTTCTGACACCGTGTATGTAGATGTGATGAAGCATGGTTTATCAGTCTGAACTCTCTCTCTGACATGCAAATAAGAAAGAATATTATTTTTCATAAGATGTAAATAACTGTGACTCGTTAGTGTAAGAAATCCTGGCCCAACTCTTTCTAGAAGACAAGTTTCTTAGCGCAAAAAAATATTCTTTAAGTATTTTTCTAGTATTAATCAGCATGGACAGATAACTGCTAATTTTCAGAAGAATGCATTGAGACTTGAGAAATGTCTGGGCCTTTTTTTAGGAACGCCTTTCTACATCAGCAGCCACCAGGCAGACATTATGCAAACATAATGCTCAATAGTAATGTCATTAGAGAGAGAAAGTCAGGAGGAGTACAAGCAATTTGTTTAAGGCGGTCCAGAGACACCAATTCTACTGGGAAGGTGTCATTAAAGATGTGCGCTTTGCTTTACTTTTACTGTGACTATATTTAATGAACAACTTAAATTAGTGCATTAATGTGAAACAGAACGAAGAGGAAAGATTGACATCAGTTCTAAACTACCTTTGCTGGTTAAATTGTCTTCAGAAGGCATTTAACGAGTACATGGAGGATAGACTAGGCCAGGGGTCTGCAACCTGCGGATCCAGAGCCACATATGGCTCGTTGGACCCTGTCCAGCGGCTCTTAATAATGGCTAAAATGTATATAAAGAGGTAAATAATTTACTATAATATATCAATAGCTTTAGCGTTTTTTTATAAGCTGGAAAAGAATGAGATTAAAAGAACCAGAAATATGTTTTAAGAGACATTTTTCTATGAATTAGCTTGAAAATTATACGTTTTAACATAAAAAATATATGAATTGATTGTTTGAGATGGCAACAACTAATTTCCTATACAAGATAAAAAAAAAAAAAAAAAGGGTTTCTAGAAAAAGTCATGGTATATTTTGCGGCTCTAAACAACTTTTATTTGGTCGTACTCTGGGCAAAACGGCTCTTTGGATATGAAAGGTTGCAGACTCCTGGACTAGGCTATCCTGGCTAAGTGTTGAACAGGGGTATAAATGCTTTTTAAAATTCACAAGGAATGGAGCTGGACCCCCTTGATTTAGATCTTAACTGCTCCATGTATTAAAGGGGAAATGGAATGATGAATATTTGTGTTTTCAAACTCTCTCCATGCAGTTTGATTGAGCTGGATCTCATTTCAAACAGAATACGAAAAAAATTCCGTCTTGTAATGTTGGATTCATGGGGTTTATCCGTGCAAACTTCTCACTCAGATAAAGGTTCTGATGCAGACAGCCAAACCAAAAAGATGTGGAACCTACTTCCAGAGAGCAAGCATCTCCTTCTGGATCCCCCAGGATAGCTGTCTGACAAGACTGAACCTGGAGTTCAGGCTAAGATATCCTCGCGGGTTCTGGTGGGTTATCACACGGGTCTGTTCTCACTGTGCACAAACCCATAGATGCGCTCTACATGTTTAAGGTTGACGCAGGTGCAGTACTCGCAGAAAACACATGGGGCAGTGTTCAACATAGCAAGCGTAAAGAATTGACGTTCCACTTCCAAAATGCCGGACTACAGTATTGTTTATTTAAGAATTTATGATTATTGAAGAATAGTATGTGTATTTATGCCACTGACACAGAAATATGCAGCGGAATAAAACAGTAGGTTTACCTGCTGCACACTTGATGCCTGCCTATGAAGCCCATATGGACCTTTTTGCTTTTTAAATTTAAAAGGTGAATGCATTATATACTATGTGTAGTTTCAGACTTTATGCTGAATGTGATGGAAACAGAAACTAAAATTCTTGTTTGTGACTTGGCGGTTAGGTGCGCGACCTAGCACCCAGGCTGCGTGGGTGGTCCGTGCTCGTGGGGACAGCATTGCTGAGTCATTTTTGGATCTCGCGCCCTTGCACCCTGTTCAATGTGGCGAGTATAAACCAAGCATTATTGTTCATGCAGACCAATGCGGACCTTCATTGAACACCCAAGTGTTGAAACAAACAACAACAATGGAGGATGCTACAGTCAGTAGTAGCAACCTCAGAGTTCCAGGTGTGTTGCAGAGGCTTTTTTTTGTTGTTGTCAATGGCAGGCAGCATTTCCCCTCTTTTGTCTCCTTTGTTTCTTCTTTACTTGTGGGGCAGTCATACTGGTGTGGCTCAAGTATTACAATGCCTATTATATTGTGGGTCGACAGTGGTCTAGGTAGCAACTGGAGGGTAGCTGGTATGAACCAAAGCTCTATGTCTGTCAGAGGCCCAGATGGGCAGAGGGCCCGGTACGGCAGACTCTCCTCTGTCTGTGTTCCTATTAGGTCAGCAGCTGGCCACATAAGGTGAGCAGGCACTCTGGAGCTCATCTCTATGAGTGTGTGTGGGTGAATGACTGAGTGTAGTGTAACATGACTTGGAGTCCCCTGACTTGAAAAGGCACTGTATCAGTACAGGCCATTTATCATGGTCCATTCCTTGCTTGACATTTTGCCAGCAATTCATGTGGCCAGTAGGGACAATGCTCCACTGCCCTCAACAGCTCATCAGATAGGAAGAGCTTCTATCTTCTTTCCCGTAGGACCTTACGGAACGATTTTGCCATTTTTAATGTGAAAAGTCAAATAACGGCATCTGTGTTCCTGGAGAGGAACCTCCTCCAGAGACGCTTTTAGTCTGAAGAGTCCTGTAGTATGGGTGGATTACAGTCACTTGCTGTGGTACCTCTGTCTGTCCAGGATCTAAAACGTTGAGACAACAGAGGTAACAAAATGAGGCGCTCTGAAGACATTAGTTAACAGCAGAAGGAGGCGGCTGGTCTGGACCAGTTCTGGAGCTACAGGAGGAGAATGAATGATGGATGGTTTCAGACCTTCTACGGGTTAAAGTGAATCTGCATTTTGAAAAGGCAACAACAAACTTCATCCTATGTCACCATAAATTTTGCAATCAACTATTTTAGATTGCTCCTTCAGCCTATGTCACATCCTGGTCCAGTCTCTGATTGGTTGATACAACAGAGATTGACAGAAAGGTTTTGAACTCCAGTGAAATTTGCTTCCCATCCAGGGAATCAGGATAACATGTAAACAATTTGCTGTGTGTGCATCATTGGTGTGAACACGGCATTACTGCTCCTCCAGCTTTATGAGGTTTCATCTTTGGTTTGGTGTGGCTTTGTTTGCATACCATTAAAAAATCCCAGTTTAATAAGTTACAATTGGTACTTCTAATGTTAGAAGCTGAATAAAGAACATTTTGAAAGCACCTGCGTTGATCAGTTTAGATATTGGCTGCACTGATCACTGCTAACCAGTATTGCTCAGCCTCTGCTGACAATCAGGTGTACGTTTGAGGATTGCTTTTAAAGCACAGCCTGAATCAGCAATTGCTCAATATGATTTGTGGGTGGCGGTGATTCCTTCTTATAAAATCCCACCTGGAACACAAAATGTTTGAAAGCAGGTTGTGTTCTTTAGAGTGGCCGGCTGTTTCTACCATCTTTCCACAGATTGAAGATGTTTTCCCTGTGGAGGCAGGAGCCGTTTTCTGACAGTAAAGTAATCACAAATGGTAGTCCTGATTGATAAACTGGCTTGCCTTGGCTGCATGAACGGAGGTGAAAGTCAGCAGGGTTACCATGGGTACCAAGAGTAAAATTCCTTACTGGATCAGAGAGGGCACTGTGATGCTGATGGGGTGTTGGATGCTCTTACACAGATGCTGTGAATTAAATGTGCATTTGTTCATTAATGTTGGTCAGGTTTCAACCTCCTCATGTGTTTCTCCTTCTAGAACAACATTGATGTAAATGGGAGAAATGGAAGATGCTTTATGTTTCTGATTATTAAAGAAGGAGGTTTTTGTTTCAACAATCACAATTTTGCCCTGGATCTGTCAGCTTCTTTTTATCCTGATTTTCTTTGACTATTTCTTTTTCTCTTCACACTCTGGACATATAACCCCCATACCCCCCCACCCCTCCCTATGTGCCCTTCTTTAATTTGTTGTGTGAAGTTTTCAATTTCCTGCAGGTAATCCCTAGTCACCAGCTTAATTGTGTCTCGCAAGATGAAGTTTATGAGCTGCGGTCAGGAAAGAAATTACAACCTCACTCCCCCTTGTGTGTTTGCACATTTCTGTCCGCTCCTGCACAGAAGAAGCATGGATTTGATAAACAAACTGAGGTGACTCCTTTGGTTCCTCTCTTTTCTTCACTGGGGGAAATGGAGCAATTCAAAATTATAAGCTTGACCAGTTAGTTAGTTAGATTTAGATTAAAACAAGTTGCACAGATGAAAGTTCTTCATTAGTGAAAATACCTTTATTAAACAGTGACCTAAAGTTCAGACGCTCAGTATAAAAAAAAAAAACAAAAAACAAAAACATGTATATAATGAAATTTGCATTTCTTAAAAAACAACCTGCGGAGCCTTCATGATTAAAGGAGGTCGCAGTTCAATCTGGATAAGGAAACATGACCTAAACAGAAGAACTGTCCTCTGAAAGGCTGCTCCAGTCCCTCCAGCAGGGTCGGTTGAAACGGCTCAGTTTTTATCTGCGTAGCTTAAGCCAAACTTCAGAGCAAATCCACATAGAAAGAGCAAGTTAGGATCAAACACGCATACAGAGACATCAGAGCACCAAAGCAGGAGAAGCCTACCTAGAAGATGGGAAGTGAAAACTGAGGTCAGCATTCGTTAGTGAACTGTTGAAAATCAGCTGAAGAAAACTGGGTTTATGGCAAGTAATTTACAATAAAATGGAGGAACGACACTTTAGAGCCAATAAAGATTCAGGTCCAATCAGGCTTTATTTACTACAGACACTCATCCAAGTCATTTGATAAAATAAATTTGCAAAAACAGAGTCCTGATAGA